TACGGGCAAATCCCACACCAAAAATAGTGTCGACAATCTTGAGTTTGTATGACCCAGAGTAATGGTGTCGTTTCTTGATGTCGAGACCCTAAGTCTTGGGCCCTTTGGCTAAGAGTCCATGGGCTATTTTTAGCCTATGAGCCAAAAGCCTTGTCCTCGTTCCGCCTGACACTGCAGTATTCAGACCCACAGTGTCACTTGGTGATGCTATGGAGCTGAGGCTTGCCAGAGAATTTACTTTCTCATAGATGTGTATTCAGAGCATTGCCTTTCTCGCAGTGCAACGACCATGGGTCGCTTTGCCAATAAGTCAACTTCAACTTAGTCAAACATTTATTGGCCTCTTAAATTTTGTAGGTCAAGATGAACCTCAGTTTTTTACTCATTTGTCATTCACCTTTTCGTATTGGTGACAACCCTCATTTTAATTTTGCTCAGTTAGCCTAGTCCAGTTGTTCCAAACAAATGAGTCTCTAACCTTTATAGATTGAAAAATTAGGGATTTTTATCTCGAACCATTAGTGCACCCTTTAGCATGGGTGAAATTTCTCTGGCAGACTAATTGGTCGAACTTATAACGAGTTCGTCATTATTGGCTTGACCATTATAAGTCCATCATGTCTTTTTTATGTTTCAACCTGTTGGTCGATTTTTTTTAAATGATTTTAATTTAATGCACCTATAATTTTGGTTTTGAAAAATAGCATCGTAATTTTGGAACATGAGACCAGATAGATCTCGTTCATTTAATAGTTTAGATAGTTGAGTACAATACCATAAGTGATAAACAACCCAGAGAGATAAGCATGTTACGTGTTTGTAGGCTCGTCCATTCAAAATAAGGAATTCATGACATCCGTTTGGTCTGCAAATTCGATAATACGACATAATTAATACCCCATCCGTACGAGCACGACTTTTGAGGAGTAAGGCGGGCGGAACCACATGATAAGGATTACGAGCTGCTTGCTCGTTTTACATACCTTTATTTTAAATATCATTCATATATAGAATTAAGATCGGGTGTGTACTTATGTGGTGTCTGGCCGCCTTTTTTGCTTATGAGATATTTTACCTACCTAGCATCACTTGACCTTTTATTCTTTCGTAGTTGGCTTGTTTTACTTTATTTGTGCAGTGTGATGAACTTAGATTTGTACTTTTTTGCTTGTGGATTGTCTGGTTATCATGCAAATAATTTAGGTTATCAAGAACTTAAAATTATAATATTCTAAAAAAATCCTAATAAAAGATTAAGACTAATCAAAATTTAGGACTAAAATATTTCAAGATTTTAAAACCTACACTTTACTTTTTTGCATGACATTTGCGCTAGTTTTAAAGTGAGTTGCATAGCATAGACATAACCCAAGTCATATCTTATAGGGTCTTAACGCTTAGAAAGACAAATGCATCATATTGCATGTCTTGAGGAGAAGTTTCCGTGCTTCTCCAACCCGACTGGCCCAGTATAGGTTTCTACATAGGTGGTCATCTAGTATGCTTAGGGTGTTAGAGGCTTCCTCGACCCAGATGGGAAATAATTCCTTTGTGAGAGCGTCTCGGCTTTGTAGCCGTACATCTCTTTCTCTTTTCACTTCAACGGCTTCCTCACCACTTCGAGAGATATAATTCCCACCTCTACTCTTCCTATATACACAAGCTCATAGGATTTTGAGTTTTCTTCTCTTGACCTTAGGGCTACCAAGATCCCCTTGGACGACACAATTCACAAATTACTAACAAGGGATCTCTGGTTGTGTTGGGTCGGTTACCTTCACGACCAAGTAGACTTAGAGTCCTAATAGCTTGTGATGACGAATTCATGGTATTCTAACCTGACTATCTTTACCTGAATAGAATTACTCTAATTTCCTTTATTTACACTCTTTGAGCATTGTCACTCTCTTTGACGCTTTATCAATATCGTCTCGTAGGCTCTGATTATGGATAGGTTACCGTCCATTTAGGATATGATGATTCAACCTCTACTCTTATGGCTCAGTTAGCCCTTGAAAGCATAGTGTGGACCTTATGAGTCGATTTGGTTATTTAATAAGCCTCGATTGTTGATAAGTCGTACCCATTTGGGATGTGAGGGACTCTCTCTCAACCTTATGGCTTAACGAGAGCTTTGAAAACGTTGAGATGCTCTTGTAAGATAACCATCATTTGTGACACCTTTTACTAATCATCACCAAGATATCATCAAGATTTCTTCAATCAAGAGTATTCTGGGGCATCCCCTAAGATGTAGTTAACTAAAGGGATATGTCCCTTTTGGAGTTGCTCTTGAACCCAGAACAAGCGAACACACTTGACTCTCTAGTTGTGGGTTGCTTTCGTAGGGTCTTCTTCACAAATTTGTTCTAAGACATTTTTCGATTTTATCTTGTTTGGATGTACGCTCTTGGGCTATCACACAAAGTTTACTTTACTTTATAAAAGTTCTCGATGTTCTTTCTCTATTTGTCTATCTTTGTTGTATGTCTCATCTTTTTTCTGATTTCTCTTTTCTCCAGATCATCTATATGATCCGAAAGAGAGAATTACTGGGAAAAAGAAATTATACGACGATAGACATGTTTGCGGCTCCTAGAAAAAGCAAAAACATAAGTCACCATTCCAGGGAGTTATTTAAAATGGGTCTACCCCATCTCGATCTTTAAGCGAGTCATTCCCACTAAACTCACTTGCATTATCCAAGTTTATGTTCCATACAAGGGTTGGTTGTACCTTCTCATCAAATTTGCAAATCACAAGTTGGCTACACCACCGAACTTACCAAGCATCTCTCCGAGCCAGAGAGAAGAAAGTTTTTATCTATCAGCATACATATCGTTATTTATTAATAATAAGATAATCCACACTAGTAGTCTCGTCGAGAACGAGTCTGCTCAAGCTCCGTACTACATAACCTATAACCTAGTTTTATATTTATTTCTCAAACTCTGATGCAAATACAGTCTCCTGAGTATATAAATAAGAGGGGAGGAGGGATCTTATTTTTTATGTCAATCAATTCTATACCCCTAAAAAATTGTATAAAATCGCTTAATTTCTTCTCAATCTTTCAAGATCACTTCTAAATTGTATGAGCACGAATTATATGGAATCTCATGTGCCGAAAAGATTCAACACTTATATATTTGCATATTTAACAACTAACTTTTTATATTCACATACATATTAATACCCAAATTTTTAACATCTAATAAAAAAATATCATTCTTGTAAAATTTTTGAAAATGAATTACACATTTTAATGCATAGGTTTATATTTTGGTATAAATATTAAATTATAAGCATTATATTTATAACTACATAAACAATACGGTATATAACTATATATGTAAATTTTTATTTGTAAAATTTGTTACCAATGCTATGAACCCTCTCATTCCTTCCAACGGAATAAAAAAAATCCGCAGGAACAACTTAACGTTCCTTCTTCTGTTCTAGTTTCAGTTTTTTAATCTCCTGGAAGTAACTTTCAAATTCCGAGCCAGGCCGGCAACTCGGCTATCTCCCTTTTCCTCCTTCCCTCCTTCCCTCCATTCTCTCAGAGGTCAACTGCCACCTCGCCCACAATGCCCTGGAAGCAGAAGATTCCAGTAGAGGACAAAGACCTCGCTCGCTTCCTCAACTCCACCATCAGCAACTTCGTGCAAGATCGACTCATCGACCGCGATCGCCGCCTTCATCACAAAGAAGAGTGCGCAGAGCGCCTCGCTGCCGCTGCTTCTGCCGGAAAAGAGGTCGAATACGCCGATCAGGCAGTCCTCGCTAACCTAGATTGGGGCATCGATGCTCTCGAGGAGGCCATCGTGACATCAAACTATGAGGCTAAGCTCGCTCGCCTCAACCATGCCGAGCGGATGCTTCAGGTCTGCGCCATGCTTGATCCTGTCGGCTCAACTGCCGGAGTTCCCAATTCCTACCTCTGCGCTTGGTCCCATCTCCATCTTGCCTGCCTCTCGCGCCTCCGAGCCAGTGGTGCCATCTCGCGGGCTGCTACACTGCACGCACTCGAGATGTTCGACGTCGAGCCTTTCTTCTCCCGCACCGATTTCGCGCCTGATCTTTGGGAGACCATGTTCCTGCCGCACATGGCGTCAATCGTGGGATGGTACACGGAGGCGCGGCATCGTATTGTGATGGAAGAGATCCCGGACGCGACGGATTTGTCGGCCACGGCTTCGGATTTTGGAGAGCAGCTGTTTAACGAATCGGTGGTGGCGGCAGCGACGCCTGACCAGGCGGAGAACCTGCGTGAGTTGGAGATGGAGTATGGGGAGTCGCTTGATCGGAGCACGAGGATGTACGCCAAGTATTACAAGGATGTTCTTAGCCAGGAATCGGTGGAGATACAGACATCACCGACATCTTTCGGGAGGAAGAGTATGCCAGCGCTGCCGCCGATCGCGGAGCCGCCAATGACGCCGCGGCACGAGGTTAGCCGTTCAATCCCCGATTTCGTTAAGTTCGGACCCATCTTGCCGAAGAGCGCCGGGTTTACTTTCGGGAAGAGAGACGCCGGTGGCAGGGCCGGCTCCAGCTTTGAAAGGTAAGTCGATTCGTAACCTCGTTTCCCGTTCAAATGTGAAGCATAAATAGAGACCAAGTTAGTCCATTTCCCTTGCTTTTATGATCTGCAGTACACGCTTGAGCGGCTTTCACGGGCCCAGAAGGCCTATTCTTCTCTTTTACTAAAAAAATAAAATAAAACTCGGTCATCTTATTCTGTCAAGCTAACTCGCCGAACTGATTTGTCGGGCTCTCCGTATTTGCTCTTGATATTTGCAAACCACCCATATGGAATATATCATTCCAAGTACAGAAATGCATTCATACTAATTAAGAGTCCCCTCACATTCACGTTCCCATTTTCTCGCATGGATATTATGGACGCGCCTTAATACTTACGGTCTACATTTTATTTTTCTCCTTCTCATCGGGAGGGGTGCTGACACGTGGTACTCCACTATTAGAGTCGGATACATCTGACCTAATTTTTATTTTCTATCGGGGGGAGAAGTGTGAGGGAAGAGAGCATGCAGCGCTTCTCACTTTGGAAGGAGGACTTCCCAACGAATCTATCCATCCATTTAATTCTCTGTCTCATTTTCTCCTCCCTAGCTCTATCTCTAACAACTAGCCAAAAATTGAAGTGTAGGAGAGGGGAGAAGTTCTATTCCATTCTTTCCTTATTCAGCACTCCTCCAAAAAAAATAATGTCTTTTTCAGGTTGTATGAGCCCTCGGACAATATGAGATCCCACATCCTATAAGGATTCAACATATAGGATTTTTTTTATTTGGAGCTCACGTTATAACTCATGAAATTTTAATTTTAAGTAGATATCTGATGTATGTGCAAAAGTTTAGTGGAATTTCATTCAAAGTCATTGGAAGAGTTCTCCCACACCTTGATCAAACCTCTTACCTTCTTCACATGATCTATTTATTGGCTTCTTCTCATTCCATATATGAATTATCTGGAAAGAAGAGAATGATTAAATAAACTTGCAAATGGAATCCTATCAATTTTGGATGAGGGTATCAATGCATGAAATGAAAGAAAATTGAAAGATTGAAGGGAGACTAAGTGTCATTCTTACAGGAAAGATAATTCTTTCCAAGTTTTCGGTTTGCACTGGTTTCCATTCAGAGGATCTTTATTTGTGAAACTGAAGTAATATCAAATAAAGAAAGGCATGCATGCTTCATGAAAATGCCTATAGTTTATAAGCATTGTAAGCAATATGATAACATTAAGATACTAGATGGTGCTTTCCCACCATGATGAAAAAGGTGCCCATGATTGACACCTATTAGCATTTGCTCTAAAAGAGATCAAAATGTAAATCCTTGTAAGCTTTTACATATAAGTATGATAAGAAAATTACAAAATTATTATAATATTTTTTGCAAGAATTTTCTTATTAAAAAGTTTACACCACAAAATATATATATAGTAGTTTGCCATATCTTGAGTTTTTTAGAATTTCTAACGTTTTGAAAATCCCAAAAAGTTTCAGTTTCTTTAACTCTTCCCATCTTTTTTATAGGCATTAAATGAACTCCCTTTGATTGCCTTAAAGAATTTAGGATTAATCACACTAGTAGAAAGTAAAAAGTCAAGTCTGAAGATCGTCCTAGGATTTTCATATGGGCATGCCAAATCCTCAACTCAACCCTTTGAAGCTTTTCATGGGGCCCCGTGTTAAGCCCGAGCCATCTTTAAGGGCATCACGAGGCTCTTGGCATGTAATAGCATGGATTCTCACCCATCAAGATATTATCTGATTTGACCTAATGTCTTTATGGTTTCCCATTGGTGTAACTACCCAAGTGGTTACCCATGCTTAACTTATAGTTTTTGATGAATTTTAACCGTCACGCCAAAAGATGCATCGATGTTTAAGAGTTTAGTTTCAATCTACTTAAGGGATTTCACAATCTCCTCCACTTAAATATCTGATGTCATCGGTAGTGCTCTTAACTCATTTGTAACAGCCCAAACTGTCACCCATCTAAATATTATCTACTTTGGCCTAATGGTCTCATAGTTTTGTCCCATCTGTATAACTTCCTAAGAGATCACCCATCCTGAGAGTCCTCCTGTACAACCATGCTTCAGTTTCATTCTACTCAACGGGTTTCATAATCTCTCTTACTTTAGGAAACTGAGGTCCTTATCAATTTATTTTAAACTATAATAATTCACTAGGCAAATTTCCCTTTCTTCAAACAACCCAAACTCTCACCAATCTGGATATTGTCTACTTTGGTCTAATGGTCTCGCAATTTTGTCTCATGAGTGTAACTTTTTAGGAGGACACCATCCCAAAAGTTCTCTCGCACGGCTTACTTAACTTTGAAGTTTCTAATAAAATTACAATTGTTACACCAAAAGGTGTCTCAATGTTTAAGAGTCCACCTTCATTCTACTTAAAGGGTTTCACATGACATGCCTAGGGATTCTTCAATGTGTGACCATAATCAGGAGTGTCAACATAGGCCCTATTTGGGGAACATAAGCCAAGATGATTGACCTAATCATGAAGAATCTTTTAAGTTGTGAATTGAATTAGAATAGAGGTCAATAAACACCTCTTTCCAAAATTTACCAGTATTCATTGTTTTTACCATATCATAGTAAGATAAACACATGGATCTTAAACGTAAATTCGGGATATGAGCATAATATGCAATATAATAACATAAAATACTAGGGATGCCTCCCCATCACACTAAGAAATAGATTCATGATTGAGATGTATTACTTTTTGTATACTCTACAAGCGATCAATATGTGAACTCATGTGATGTTCGACAGGTATAAAGTAGACAAAAAAATTTAAATAAAAATTATTTGAGAGAATCAGCTTGTTTGGAGGCTGAAACCGCAAAATAAATTTGTGTTTCTCTACCATAGCTTGAGATTTTTCTAAGATTTATAATATTTGAGGATTTAAATTTATTTTGTTTAACTTTTATTTTGTAGATGTTAAATGGGCCTGCCTATGATTGCTTCCTTGATGTGGGATTACTACCTAGGGTGAAAAGTGAAAGGCTGGAGCTGAAGTTTGTATTAGGATTTTTATGGGGGCCTTTTAAATCCCTAATTCCTATTTGACCCTGTGAATTCCTAATAGGGCCCTATTAAACCTAGTAAAGGCCCAATCCTTGGCCACTCTCAAGAATCATTTCCTCACAACTAAACTTAATAGTGTCAACTTGGCTCTCATTTGAGAAATATAAGCCGAGATGGTTGAACCGAGTCTAACCACTCTTCCAAATGGTGAGACTAAATATGAACATTGGTCAATAAACACATCTACCCACATTCTACTAGCATTCAAACTTGTGTGGAATGTATGTTAATTTACCATTTATTTATATATGAAATATAATATTTAGTATATTACTTTAGGACCAAAGTCTTGTTTTGCATTGTTTGGATTTCTCTTCCTCTTATATATTTGTAGGAAGATATTTTGGCGTTGTACTTGCACCTCTCGTAGATGCTATTTTGGTTGGCAGAAATTCAATGCTATGTTCAGTAAATCGTTGGCATTTGCTTCCAAGAATTTTTTTGAATTATGAATGTTCCAGTTTAATGTGACTGCCGTAGTTTATGCTAAATTAAACTGTTGAAATGTGCATCAAAGCACAAGAAATTTACATTAGTGTGCTGTGCAGACAACTAACTCTTAAATAGCTTAGTCCATGTGCTTTAGGTTTATTTATTTAACTTGTATGAAATGTGAACAACCAGGATGGGTGCAATGCCAGATTCTTCACAGGAACATAGTAACTTTATTAGGCAGACCTTAAAGGTATGATCTCATTCTCTAAGAACAACCAGATATGCATATTTTTATACTGTCTGGGCATTGCATATTAAGGTTCCCTTCTTTGGTTGAGTAGGTGGGCTTGCCCAAGGAGAATGATCATAATGGTAATTTTGATGGCAGTGTTGCTAATGTGCATTTTGATTTTCCTACTCAAAGAAAATTCTCTTCTAAAAATATGATATCAATGGCAGAGAAGGGAAGAATCACCAAGGTCAACTCACCAAAAACGAATCAGTTTGTTTCAGCTAAAAATTCTTCATTGGATTCTCCTAGGACTCATAGATCCTCACTTCCCAAAACACTTTCTTTTTCCAAAAATGAATTGAAGCAACCTGTTCATGGTGCTCCCAATAAATCCAGTGGTTCTGCACATAAGAAGCTCGCCCCTTTGGATCACCTAAAGGCAACCTCTCCAACGATTTCACCTGTACGAAGAAGGCCAGAACAAGCTTTATCTCCATCTTTCGGGAGTATTTTAGATGAATCTGATGATGATATGGTACATTTTTCTTTTTCTTATATTTATTTATAAATTTTAACTTTCATTAATTTTCCTTTGCTATTGAGATACCTTATAATTTAATATAATTTACATATTTAGGAAGTTCGAAGTTTCAGCAACAGCTCTAGTGATGTGAGGTCTTCAATCAGTCCGACATCTAACGTGCATTTGTCATCTCCCAGGCAAGATGAACAGTTTGTTGTATTATAAATGAAAACTGTAGTCAATGTAGAACTGGTCAGGTGTTAATGGCTTTCCATAATTTTTTTTTTGTTTTTTTGTTTTCTGTTTTTTGTTTTTTTTTTTTGGCAGTTTACATTCCGAAGCTGAAGAAGTAAATAATAGAAACAGTTCTTCTGTAGAAAAGGCAATGCAAAGAACAAAATCGCCAAAGGATTTTGTCTGTCCCATCACTGGGCATCTCTTCAATGATCCGGTAACTCTAGAAACAGGTCAGACATATGAAAGAAAAGCAATCCAAGAATGGTTGAAGAGGGGAAACACAACATGCCCGATCACTCGTCAAACTCTCTCTTCCACTGTCTTACCCAAAACTAATTATGTTTTAAAGAGGCTGATTACAACTTGGATGGAGCAAAATCCTGATATTGCATTAGAGTTCTCATACATGGAGACACCAACGGCTTCTCCCAGACCTTCCTTGTCTAAGGAGCAGCTCTTAGAATCCAGTACCATAGTTGATCTAGAATGTCCTCTCTCTTTATCTAGACCCACCGCTACCAAAAATGAGAAAAGAAGTAAACGTTTCATGAGAGGCCCAGCTACTTCACCAAGAAGTGTAATTTCCCAAGCTGCAACTGAAACAGTAATGAATGCCTTGAAGACATATGCATCATGCCTCTGTACTTCAGAGGACCTGCAAGAATGTGAAGCAGCCGTCCTGAAAATAGCCAGGATATGGAAGGAATCGAAGGCTAGCACAGGAGTTCAAGCTTTTCTATCTTCACCGACAATATTGAATGGATTTCTAGAAATCCTATCAGTTTCTACCAATAGGGAAGCTCTTAGAGTTTCTGTTTATATTCTTTCCGAACTTGTTTTGGCAGATGAAAGTGTAGCTGAAACAATTATTAATGTAGACTCAGATTTTGACTGCCTCTCTTCTCTGCTTCTTAATGGACTGACTGAGGCTGCAGTTCTTATATGCCAACTACAACCCACATTCTCTCAGATTTCGGGCCACGATATTGTGCAATCCTTAGTTCAAGTAATAATGAGCAAAGGAGAACATGCAGATGACTTCAGTTGCGCGATGGAGCCAAAGGATGCAGCAATATCATTGTTAGAGCTACTATTATCCGGGGGAGATGAGACTAATCGCTCAATCAATGCTTCGATTGTTATTTCCACAAATGGGCTTCCTGCTCTTATCAAGTGCTTGGATCAAATGGAAGGAAGGGCCTCTGTTGTATCAGTACTTGTAAGCTGTATGCATGCTGATAAACGCTGTAGAAATTTGATTGCAGGGAGGGCTGAGTTGTCTCCTGTTCTTGAACTATTTCATGGCGGAAATGACAACACAAGGAGCACATGCATTGATTTTCTCTCGAATATTGTTTGTTTTAAAAGGTGAGCTCATTTTTAATTAGGAATATTTCTCATCTTCCTCCCTCAGCGCATAAATTTTGGCCTTGGATGATTAAAACCGTTTTTTTTTTGTCATGTTGCAGACCACCATAGGCAGTTTTTTAAGAAGTAAACTTGAGTTAAATACAGTTCAGTCTACTCTTGAATGTTAATTATAATATCTGGCATCCGTCAGCCTAATTAATCTTGGATTGTTGGAGAAGCTTCTAGACAATTGTTGTAGTTGTATTCACACCTATATTAGTTTCCTAAATTTGCTTATAGCATCCATATCAACCCAATAATTAAGTTTATTTCTTTTAACAAAAGCATAGCTTTTTATATTTGTTTGTGGAGCCTTTATTACTTTACAATGCTATTAGTTTTCTATATTTACTTATTATTCCTAATTTTTCATACATTTGAATTTTGTAATTATGTTTATATGTACTCAGTAGTTGAATGGAATAGAACAAGTTAACAAAATATTTTCCTCTTATATCTTTTTTTTTTTAACATTTTAGTATGGTATCAGAGATACATTCCTTAGTCTTGACTCTTGAAATCATCTTCATCCCTCATTCGTGTTGATTGCACCATGTTTTGGATCACTAAAGATCGTCTTCTCTCCCAATCATTATCTCCCATGAAGTCTATTGTTATCTCTCATGACTCTACTCATCTTGCCAATTGGTACTTTCACGGCTTCCTACCATCTATTGCGCATATCTCACCATCTGGTACATCTTCCATTATTGTATGTGTCCTGTGTCTTTAAAAGCATAATGTTGTCTCAGCTTGACGCTCACTAAATTAGAGCCGTCAAAAGTTATCTTATACTTAGTCTTGGTAAAATTGTTTCTTTCATGCATCAAGTTTGTTTACTTTAGTTGGATATTATGACTTTGATTGGGCAATGTCACAACTCGTTGCACCATCAACCATTATTTTATTATGTTGGGTTCTAGTTCTATTTCTTGGAAATCTGAGAAAACCAATAGTTTCTCATTTTTCCGTAGAAGCATATTATCATTCTGTCGTTGCGCTTACTTTGAAAATGTAATGGTTAAAAAAATTAGAAATTTATGGTTGAACTTTATGACACAAATTCCAAAAATATATAATAGTCAAGATCTTTTAAACGATTTTTACATATCCATAATAAAGTAACACATACATGTATTCATGATGATAAGATTTTATCTTGAAGAAATTTGACCTTGAAGAGATCTCTCTCTAATCTCTTGAAACTTTCTGTACTTTCTGATGGAGGGAAATGTGCGGGGTGTGTTAGGAAGAGAGATGACTCATTCTTTGAATTATGTTCCATTGAACCACCATCCATCAAGGGGGTTACTAACCAATATAGTTTATAATAATTTAATAAATTAATTATTTTTATTATTAAAATCAATGATATAAGTTAGTAACTCCTATTCATTTTAGGGATTACATGAATTACAAAATAAATATCAAAAGTTATCAAAAGTTATGACATAAGTTATGAGTTAAGAAAATTAATAACTTAAGTTATCATGAGTTATAAAAATAAATATCATAAGTTATGACATAAGTTATGAGTTAAGAAAATTAATAACTTAAGTAGTTACCAAAATAAATCTCATAAGTTATCATAAATTATGATATAAGTTATGATTTAAGAAAATAAATAACTTAAGTTATCAAAATAAATCTCATAAGTTATTAAAAGAAATGTGAGTCATAAATAAAAATTTAGCATTCTCCCACTTGACTCAATTAATTTTAATAATGCATAACATATTGCACAAAATGTAAGATAAATCTTTGATTAAATCATAAATTATTTAATAAGTATGAAATTAATATGAATCATGACGGTTTTGCATCAATTTATCGACACAGTCCCTTCCATATATCACAATATCAATTACATACATAATGAGAATTAACATCATGGTCTCATAATGTTTATTAAAAAACAAATCTTGTTAAACATCATGCAACATAAAATGTACACTAACAATAAAAATAAGATTTATCAATGTCAGAAACAATAAAAATTGAGCCCAAAGTGCCAAAATACAAATAGCATACCACTAATAAAGGGTTTTGGTAGTGTCCATTCTCACGACATATTCGTTAAATGTTTTCCATGGCAACACTTTCGTTAAAGGATCTGCAATCATGAGATTAACGCTAATATGCTCAATTGACACCCTATGTTTATAAACTTCTTCCTTAATGACAAGGTATTTTAATTCCATGTGTTTAGCACTTTTAGAATACTTGTCGTTTTTGGAAAAGAAGACTGTTGTTGAGTTATCATAATAAATTTTCAGCAGTCTGACAATATTGTCGACAATTTCAAGTTCTGAAATAAAATTCCACAGTCATAAACCCTGAATTGTAGCTTTAAAGCAAGTCATAAATTCAACTTCCATAGTGGAAGCAACTGTGATAGTCTGCTTCGCACTTTTCCATGAGATTGATCGTTCAGCCAAAAGGAACAGATAGTCAAATGTTGATTTTCTTGTATCAACACATCCAACAAAATCTGAATCTGAATATCTTATCACTTCAAGATCTTTAAATCTTCTATAAGTGAGCATGTCCTTTGTTCCTGGTCCTTTGTTCCTTGTAGATATCTCAAAACTTTTAGTTGTAGCTTTCCAATGATCTATTCTTAGATTACTTTGATACATGCTCAGCATCCCGACAACAAAACTAATGTTTGGTCCGGTACAAATCTGAGCATATATTAAGCTTTCAACATTAGATGCATAAGAAATTTCTTTCATTTGTTTACGTTCCAAATCATTCTTTGGATACTGCATAAGACTGAATTTATCTCCTTTCTGAATTGGAGCAACACTTGTTGAGCACCCTTCTATATTAAATCTCTTAAGAATTTTTTCGATATATTTTTTCTGAGACAGCCCTAACAATCTTTGTGATCTATCACGAAATATTTCAATTTTAATCACATAGGATGTCTCATTCATATCTTTCATTTCAAAGTTCTTAGAGAGAAAATTCTTGGTTCATATAATAAGCCAATATCATTAGTAGCCAACAAGATGTAATCAACATATAGAATGAGAAATATGATCTTACTCCCACTGACCTTTAGATATATACACCGATCAACAGTATTTTCTTTAAATCCAAAGGATGTGATGGTATCATTGAACTTAAGATACCATTGTCGGGAAGCTTGCTTAAGTCCGTATATTGATTTCTTAAGTTTAAACACCATGTGTTCCTTTCCTTCAACCAAAAATCCTTCAGGTTGACTCATGTAGATCTTTTCATCTAAATTCTCATTTAAGAAGACAGTTTTCACATTCATTTGGTGTAACTCAAAATCATAATGAACTACTAGTGTCATGATAATTCTAAATTAATTTTTCTTAGAAACCGAAGAAAATGTTTCTTTATAGTCGATGTCGTCTTTCTGAGTGAAACCTTTGACAACAAGTCTGACTTTATATCGTTCAATATTGTTATTTGAGTCGCGCTTAGTCTTAAAGAACCATTTACACCCGACTCTTTTACAACATTCAGACAATTCAACGACATCCCAGACTTTGTTATGATCGATCGATTTCAACTCATCTTTCTTTGCATCCAATCATTTAGAAGAATTTGCACTTTTTATGGCTTGTGAAAATGAAACTGGATTTTCATTGACTCCTAAGTCAAATTCAGATTCGTGTAGATAAACCTCATAATCATCGGAAATAGCAAATTGTTTTTATCTTTGAGACTTTCTATGTGCTACTTTATGTGGTTCATCTAATACAGGTTTATTAGAGACAATTTCATTGTGGGGTATTTGATCATATATCTGTTGTTCTTGTAAGTTGTCAAACTATTTAACTGTAGGAATAACAACTTGAGAAAAAATTTTGGGTAAAAGAACTTGAATCCTAATTTCTTGAATCTCCACTTTACGTGGTTCCAAACTCCCACTAACTTCACTATTTTCAATGAACATAACATTTCCAGCTTCAATAACTCTTGTACTGTGGTTAGGACAATAAAATCTATATCCTTTAGATTTTCTGGATAATCAATGAAGAAACCACTAATTGTTCTTGAGTACAGTTTCTTTTCATGTGGATTATAAACCTTATTTCCGCTGGATGACCCCAATCACGCAGGTGCCTTAAACTAGTTTTTCTTCCTATCCACAGTTCAAAAGGAGTCTTTGGAACTGCCTTAGTAGGAATCCTGTTTAACAAATATGCAGCGGTCTTTAAAGCATACATCCACAATGATGAGGGTAAAGAAGAATTACTCATCATGCTCCTAACCATTTCCATTAGAGTACGATTTTGCCTTTGATTTTATCTTTCTGCAACACCATTTTGTTGTGGTGTTCTTGACATAGTGTATTGAGCACATATACCATTAGTTTGAAAGAATTTAACAAATGGACCTGGACATTGTCCATATTCATTGTAAGTTCCATAATATTCACCGCCTCTATCAGACCTGATAATTTTCATTTTTTTTGTCTAATTGTCTCTCAACCTCAGTTATATACATTTTTAAGGCATCTATAGCTTGAGATTTTTTATGTAGTAAATAGACATACCCATAACGTGAAAAATTATCAGTAAAAGTGATAAAATATTACTCTCCACCAAAAAATGGAACATCAAAAGGTCCACAAATATCAGTGTGTATAATTTCAAAAAGTTGTGTGCTTTTTGTGGCAGAAAGTTGTGTGCTTCTTGTGGCGGCTTTCTTAAGTGTGTGATTTGTGTGTTTTCCTTTAATGCAATTCACATAGATGCCAAGATCAGTAAAATCTAATTCATTAAGGATTTCATTCTTTACTAATCTTTTAGTCTTTCAATTCTTTCTTTGGATATTTGACTCAAACGTTTGTGCCACAAATAAACTGAACTTTCATTCATAAAACCACGTTTAGTATCAATATTATGATGCAAAGTCATCAGAGTATCAGCGAAAATGTTATAAAATTTAAGCTTATATAGGTCATTACAAAGAATATCAAAACCTATGAGATGATTGTGTTTAAATAAATTGAAACAATCATTTTCAAATTTAAAGGAGTATCCAATAAAATCAAGTCTCTCTTCTCCCCTCTCTCTCTCATGCTCTCACTTTTCTCTCTCACTCAGCTTGCCTCTCACTTTTACTCTCCCTCTACTATCGCTTTATCTCTTTTATATTATACCTCTCTCCCTTCTTCATCTCTCTCTATTTTTTTCTCACTCTAGGTTTATTAATCTATTCTCCTGCTTCATCTTTTCTCTCCCTCCTTCTCGATCTCGCTCTCTGTCTCTCTGTCTCTCTGTCTCTCTGTTTCTCTCTGTTTCTCTATCTCTCTTATACCTTATACTCTCTCTAATTCTCTCTATCTTTCGACCTCTCTCTCGCACTCCTTCCCCTTCTTCCCAATCACTCGCCTCCTTCCCTCCTCACAGTTTCTCTCAATCTCCCCTCCCTCCCTCTCATTCTTTTCTCTCTACTTTCTCTGTCTATCCCTCCCTCCCTCTCTCAATACTTCTCGCTCTTTTCTCTTTATTCTCTCTCACTCTGCATCCCACACTCTTACCCTCTCTCTTAGCCTCTCCTACTCCATTTTCTCTCTCTCTCTCTTCTTCTTCTCTCCATCCCTAGCTTCCTCTCTTCCTCTCTTTGACATAAAGTATTTGAAAAAGGTCTAAATGATGTTCAGTATCTACAATCAGCCGATAGGTTCCAAATCAACCGATATATTTTAATAGCTTCAACTGATGCTTTGACTCGGTTTCCCATGAAGACAAACTTTTCATTTGGGTTTATGATTTGGGTTGTAAGGAATCTCTGTATCGTATTAGAAACATGAGTGGTAAACATGAGTGGTACAACCAGGGTACAACCAGAATCAATCCACCATGTATTATAAGGAACTTCTGCCAAATTTTATTTGAAATATATAGAAACACAATGTTTACCTTTTTTTCGAACCAGACTTTATGCTTTTGACACTCTTTTTGATAGTGTCTAGTCTTTCTACAAAAGTGACACTTAAGTCTTTTATGTTTCTCTTTGTGAATTGAGGCAGACGACTCATTAATCTTTAGTGGTCCTTGCTTGTCATTTTCATTCTTCTTTCCAGGTTTCTTTACAGCTCTGCGTTGGTGACCCATGAGATTAATGGAGTGATTTGCTCCTTTCTTAAGTCTTGCTTCTTCTTAAATGAGCATACATTGTAGTTCGTTCACATTTCACTTATCTTTCATAATGTTGTAGTTCATGTGAATGGACCATACTCAGGAGGCAAGGAGTTAATAATAAATTGCATAAGAAAATTTTCATTCACTTCCATTCCCAGGGTCTTAATTCTTGCTGCTATGTTCGTCATTTCAACGACATGCTCATGCATGGTACGAGAACCATCAAATTACATACATGTCGGTTAATATACTCAATAGTGTCCCAGCAAGAGACTTATCAGTAAAGTCCGACTGAGAACAATTCTCAAAAATTTCATAAATTTCTTAGCACATTCAGTGTTAGAAAATGTACACTTTATGTTGTTTGCTACAGTCATTTCGCATAAACATTAAGCTTAATATGTTCGATTTTTCCCAAACTTTATAGAAAGATATTTGCTCAGCACTGCTAGAATCAGTAAGAGCAGGGGATTTTTCAGTCGTGAGTGTCGAATCAAGATCCAGAACACTAAGGTGAAACTGGACTTGCTCACGCAATTCAAAGAAATTAAGCTCATTGAAAGTTTGAACAGATGTAGCTTGCGAATGAAGAGAAATAAGAGTAGTTACTGCAAATAAATAAAACATGCTCGTATATTAATGCTTCAAACATTAAACTTACATAGATATCCATATAAAATCAGATAAATTAATAATCATAATAATAAAGTGTATTGAAATTTACTTTGGGTGATATAACAATATACGATAATAATCATAATTGATGCTTGACTTCAATTTAATATAATTGATAATTGTTTATACTAAATTTAGACATGTTTATTAACTTTGGATATATAAACATATCTTAACTAAGTATATAAATAGACTGCAATTATATGCAAAGATTATAAAACAAATAATCAACCTTTGGGCGATCTAGAAATATTTTATAATCAATGAATCTTAATATTTTCGTAATGAAATGTTAAATTATTTCCTAACAAACATCATATACTCGTGAGTAACTAAATTTATTTAATTTGACGTCTATTAAACTTATTAATTTAGTCACTTTGGTAACTAACAAATTAAACATAACATAGACATCAAATAAATAATAATTTCAATCACATCAATTTACTTTAGTATTAGTGATCTAATTCAAGATCTAATTCACAACGGAAATTTAATACATTTAATATAAATAAAATTATATGAAAAATCATAAATTTAGTAATCAAGACTCTGATACCACATGTTAGAAATTCATGTTTGAACTTTATGACACAAATTCCAAAAATACATAATAGACAAGATCTTTTAAATTCACGATTTTTACATATCCATAATAAAATAACACATACATGTATTCATGATGATAAGATTTTATCTTGAAGAAATTTGATCTTGAAGAGATGAAGTTTCTCTCTCTAATCCCTTGAAACTTTCTGTACTTTCTGATGGAGGGAAGTGTACGGGGTGTGTTAGGAAGAGAGATGACCCATTTTCTGAATTATGCTCTATTTAACCACCATCCATCAAGGGGGTTACTAATCAATAGGATTTATGATAATTTAATAAATTAATTGATTTTTATTATTAAAATCAATGACTAAGTGAGTAACCCCTATTCATTTTAGGGATTACATGAGTTACAAAATAAATATCATAAGTTATGATATAAGTTATGAGTTAAGAAATTAATAACTTAAATTATCATGCGTTATAAAAATAATTATCATAAGTTATCATAAGTTATGAGTTAAGAAAATTAATAACTTAAGTTATCATGAGTTACCAAAATAAATATCATAAGTTGTCATAAGTTATGACATAAGTTATAAATTAAGAAAATAAATAATTTAAGTTATCAAAATAAATCTCATAAGTTATTAAAATAAATGTGAGTCATAAATAAAAATTTAACAAAAATGTCTTCTGGAAAGGTACTCATTCATAATCATTTTTGGTTTACAGCGATAGCCAAGTTGTTGTTATTCATTCCACTGAAATCTGGTATTCAACAAATGCATTAAACATATTGAAATTGGCTATCATTTTATGTGTGAAAAGATTCAAGCAGGTCTTTTTGCTCTTTCCTATGCACGATATAGAGATCGATTGGTATATCTCTACCAAACCTCTTGGTGGTGCTATTTTTTGTCAACTGCTTTGCAAGTTGAGTGTTCTTGATATCACAATCCCAACTTCAACTTGAGGAGGGGTATTCGATGAAAATTATAAAGCATTTTAAGCGATTAGAAAAAGAAGATTTCAAGCATCGATATTGGCCTAATTATCTGGGAATGATCATTTTAACATATTTGTTAGCAGTCAATCTCTGCTTAGTAGTTGAAGTCACGGAACATTTTCTTCTCTTTTTCTGTTCGACATTTAACAGCCTGTTATGCTGGTATTTATTTAATTATTTAATTATTTTTTTATATTTTTTTGACAACCTGCTATCTTGTTGCTTTCATATGATTTAGTCTGATGTTTACTGTTGTCCGCACTTGCCTTCCACGCTATCAAAATCTGTGCAGTATTGCAATGATTAACAACATCTTAGCATCCACCGATACCAGTGATAGCTTTAGGGCCTGGAAATAAGGGCCACCTCTGAGAAGAAGGAAATTTCATTCACTAATTCCTTGCATATCCAACATTACTAATAGCTCTGGAAATTTCCTTCCGTTTTTAATTGTAATTTGCTGGTTTTTATGGGTTTAAAAATATCAAAATGGCAAGTTCAAAATCATCTTGTGCATGGACTGCCAGCAAACTGGCAACAACAGGTCAGTTTGGGAAAAGCAGATAGCCTTGTGAAAACTAAATTTATAACTTTTATAATACATCTCATCTGAAAAGCAGATAACCTTGTGAAAACTAAATTTATAACTTCTATAATACATCTCATCTGAAAAAAAAAAGATTTTTTTCCATTTTCTTAAGCAGAAACTCCTAAAAGTTTGGGGAAAGTGCCTACTCTCGGGTATGTGACATTTAACATTCTCACTCATGTATGTTTTAGTTCAAATTGCATTATGGAACTTGTTAGTTGGAAATGTTGCTTATAATACACTATGAGTATTTTGTCTTCTATTTTCTTTTCTTTTATTCTTCCATGTTATAGCATGTTTACCTATAACTTAACATGAGTTGTACCAAGCAAATATAATCAACCTTCAAGTAATTTATTTACACAGCCTGCAATCTTTCTGATATATACGGATTTCTTCCTTTCGGCTAAAGATTAAGCCTAACCTGTTTTCACGTTTTTACTTTCCTTAAGTTCAAAATACATTTTCATCTGGGTTTCAGGAGGACATTCTGCAATCAGATTTTACAGACGATTAAAGATGAGGGGGCATTTAGTAGCATGCACTCGTTTTTAGTCTATCTTCAAATGGCTCCAATTGAGCAGCAACCATTGGTTGCTAGTCTCCTTCTCCAGCTTGATCTTCTGGTTTGTTTCTCATCTTTAACTTCGGACCCATGCAGAGATAAACTTCACTCTTCCAAAGAATTATAGCTCAAACACATGATTTTCAGGTTGAACCTCGAATGACGAGCATTTACAGGGATGAAGCTATTGATTATATAATAGAAGCTCTTAAAAGAAAAGATTTTCCTCTTTGCCAGATCATTGCTCTAGACACCTTATTTTCTCTGACCGGACGGTTGAATGCTTCAGGAGATGCCATAACTGAAACATGGTTATTGAAGATAGCAGGGGTTTATCAGCTACCTTGCATCCCAGAGGATGAAGAAGGAAACGGGATTTATATTGATGTTGTGGAGCCAAATGAGGTTTGTTTCATCATTCTCTCTTGTGGAACATTGGCCTCACTGTCTTTTGCAAGTTAAGGTAGTTTTTATTTGCTCCTTTATCTTCAGGAAGAAGAAGCAAAAGCTATGAGTATTTGGGAGAAAAGAGTAGCTTTTGTACTATGTAATCATGAGAATGGTGCGATTTTTAAAGCTCTGGAGGAATGTCTAATGAGCAAATCCATGGAGATCACCAAATCATGTCTTGTTATTGCTGCATGGCTTATACATATTCTTAACATTCTACCTGATACCGGTATGAGAGTGATTGCAAGTCATTCTCTACTTGATCATTTGTTAGATATCCTGCAATCATCTAAAAGCATGGAGGAGAAAGTCCTTTCAACCTTGGCTTTGAAAAACCTGTTTAGTGATCCAGGTGATTTAATGTTCGGAAGACCTACATATATACCACTCAGTTCCTTTGTATTTACATGCTAGCACCTAAACTTTAATTTTACATATGCCACCTTACCTATGCATGAAAAAGTGTATTTTACCTTTAAAAGTTAAAATAATGGTATTTTTATGATATATGAATGTTAAAGATAAGCTTTAGGTGTTAGATATGTAAATACACAAGTATGGAGTGGTATGCATATCAAGTGTTTTCAGTTTTCATTCATAAACTATGAAATTAACTGTTTGGTTGCAAGGTTTCAGATTTAGATAGAGGACTTGTAGCATATGCAAAGCGAATTTACAGGCCTTTGAAGAAACTTAGAAGGTATTCGTCATTGGTTGCTGAAACGCTGAAAGAAATAATGCAGTTGCCATCTGTTGACACGGTGAGTACTTTGGAGTATGCTTTGGTAAATTCTTGAAGCATTGTGGATTCTCATATTTGATTGACTCGTCTTTCAGTCGGTGTTTTGGTCTTGTGCTGAATTAGTTGAGTTAGACTCTAGTTCTAACGGTGAGGTACTGTCCCTGGTTCATTCGAAAGGTCGCCTCTTTAGCAGCCACTCTGATGGAACTATTAAGGTAGCTTTTATTTCATGCAGCATGCTCATACTTTGCATCTGGTGTGTGCTTCATATTTTTGAAGATTTTCATGCTAAATCAGCATTATACTTTTCCTGTAGGTGTGGGATGTTGGGAAGAGGGGATGGCGGATGATCCAAGAAGTTCAAGGGCACATGAAGGCGGTTACCGGCCTTCATATTCCTCAATCGAGTGATAAATTATATAGTTGTTCGCTTGATAAAACCATCCGAGTACGTATTATTTTTCTGTCATATTAAATGCAAATATGTACTTTGCTCGCTTATGTTCCTTAACTATTTTAGGTAAAGTTACTTACATACCACAAGATTCTAATGTGTTTACATATTGTTAGGATTTGGAATTGACCAACATAATTTCATTGATAGGATGGGTATTTAAACCCAATTACGATAGACATCATAATGGAAAGTAATAAAAATAGAATAAAATAATTAGGAAAGAAATCTAACAGAATAAAGTACAAAAGGAAATACATAATCAGGGAATAAAATCAAATAAGAAGTAATAATGACATAAGAGATAGCTGTTATAATCTAATACTCCCCCTCAAGTTGAAACATAGATCTCAGTCATATTAAATTTTGACTTGAACTCATCAAACAAATGACAAGTCAGATTCTTGGTGAGGATGTCCGCTAGTTGACCACTTGTTGACCTCATTTTTAGTGAGGTCTAGTCTTCCTCTTAGGGTTTAGGATCTAGCCTTAGGGATCCCCCTTCGACTATCTTAGAACCTTAGAAATGGGACCCGCCTCATTTTAGAAATTCAACCCGCTTCTGTACTCCTAGTTTCGCGTGTGTGGTATCGACTTCCAGCGCTTAGAAGGATGAAACCGACATGAGGAAGCCCAAAATGGATTCCTAT